GGGTTGGGGCAAGGGAGGGGAAGGGAAGGGGAACGTCACGCTGTTGCAAATCGCAGTAGCGTCGCTGTTACGCTGCTGCCGAACCGCAGCAGCGTGACGGGGGATGGAGGGAGGGGGATGGGGGGAGGCGGCGAGCAGCAGCGGTGGAGGCGTCGGTGGGGAGAAAAGTTGAGAGAAATGAAATGGATTAGATTGGGTTAGGGTTTGAATAGAGTTTGGGTTTTATTAGTGGGGTAGGTAGTAGGGTGGGTATATATGTTATTTTAATTTTATAATATTATTATTAAGTAAAAATAATAAAATCGAATTTTTGATTAAAAAAAACTTAAACCTGATTTTCATAAATTGAAAACTAAATAGCTGTTTTATGTAATTACCACTTTAATTTTAAGGCTTAGAAGTTAACTAATATAAATTTTTTAGGGAAAAATTCATGGATTGGATATTAACTTTGACATTTGCAAAAAGCAGGTGCTAAAGTCATAAAATTGCAAAAATCGGGTTTTCACTTTTTATTAATTAATTAAATATTTAATTGTACAATTTGGTCACAGATATCTTATTAATTAGTTAAAAATTAATTTCAGGTCACAGCTTATCAAATTAATTGGTCACAGACAAATCAAAAAATTTAAAAGTCACAATTGACATCGTTGGTTACAAATCAAGAATTTGATGGTCACAGGTTATTTCTCAACCACGAATTAAAATTTTTTATTGGTCACAGATTGAAAAAAATCAAAACTTCTACTGGTCACAACTCTATTACGGTGAGTTACAGTCACAATTTCTAGGTCACATACGCCCACCCATGACCGTCGCCACAACCATTTGCGCACAACCAATAACAAAATCGCCGTCACCACCAACTATAACACCAAGCATCGCCATACCACTATCCATCACCTTCAAAGGCACCGTCCAAACCCTAATCCTAATTCCTTATTTGTTCATTTGATTCAATTCAGTCAGGAAAAGAAGAGAACTGGAAAGAGGGATTCTTTAATTTATTCATCTGTATCAGATTTGAATAATGTTTGCAATAGTGTGCGGGAAGAGATCTTTCTTCGAAGAGATACTAACGTCATCGCCGGTGTCGGGGTCACCACCGGTTTCCAAGAAACGTTGCTGCTCATACGCAACCTCCCCGGTTCGGTTCTCCTCCTCGCCGCCGAGGAGTCTTATTGATCAACTCAAGGCTTTGTTTCTTGATATGGATAGTGAGCTTCTTGAGAAAGTTTTGGAAGAATCTGACAATAATTTAGATGATGCTATCAAGAGCCTGTTGGGGCTTCGTGTTGGATATGCGTTTGGAGGGGGAGGAGAGGAGGGAGAAGGGGAGGCGACGGGAACGGTGGAGACGGAATTGATAAATTAGGTTAAGAATTAGGGTTTTAATATACTACCTGATTTTTGCAAAAATAAACTTAAAACCTAATTTTTAAAAAAGTAGACATGATTTTTAAAAACGTCAAACTAAACCCCTCGTTTCATGTAATTTCCTCAATCTTTCATCTTCCTAATTTCTCCAATTTCAGATCGGATATCCAATAACTTAGCAAATCGAATATGAATTTAACAATCAAATATTCGGATAATTATTCTTATCGGATCGGATCGAATCGAATATGAGCATATCCGATCCATTTACAACCCTAATTAGTACTAAAAGATCCAAGGGAACAGAAAATTATTTGACAGAGTGCTTTTAAGCTTAAAAAACAATTATGGTGCGTTTGATTACGAGTATAAAATTTGCATGGAAAGAAAATAAATTCTAGGCAATTTATTTGTATGAAAATTATTAATTAAACATGTTTGATTAATTTAATTTTTAGCCTAGAAAATATTATACTTGTCCATTTTTATTAGTGAATAGATGAGAAAGAGGGGATCGATGAGAGAGAGAGAGAGAGCGAATTACCTGAAAAATAAAAATCACTTCTCTCTAAAGAAAATATTTTCCTTATTTTCAGGAAAATATAGTAACGTAACCAAAAGTAGAAAAATATTTTCCTTGGAAAAAATTGTCAATCAAATCGTACATAAGTGCGAAATTAGGTGGAAAAAACACATTTTCCATGGAAAATATTGACAATCAAACGCACCATTAATAAGCTACTTATTTTTAGTTTCCAAACATTATTTTCAAAATAACTCTTCCCTTGGTGTTAAATTAAGCAACTTATTTCTCATTTTGATCTATTAAAAGTTATTTATTTTTGAAACTTGCTTATCGACTTAAAAGTACACTTCTTGAACCAAACATGATCACAATAGTCCAAAACATACCGAAGCAAGAAAGTCATACACGAGAGACTCTTTCATGGCATCAGTTGCATTCTTTGTCAAGGCCTGAGAAAGTAACACAAAATGAGACCATGTTTGAAATTATGATTAGTAAAAGGATTATAAGAATCTAGAGAACACAAACCGCTTTGATATTATCTAAGCTTATGGTGCCACTTTTGTTTGGTTCCAATAGTGCAAATTGTTCCTTTAAATAGAATAGCTCGTCTACAGTCAATGTTTTGGACAAAGTCTGTAAAGTCCAAGCAGAGAAATTAATACATCAACCATAAGTGCAGTAAAAGAATTATAAGTTCACAAAAGTTAAAAAATTATCTCTAATACGAAGAAAAAAAGGGGATGAAATAGTATGAATTGCAATCTAAGAACAAAATCTGCCATAACTAAAAAGTAAGCAGTAACTAGAATTCTTTCCAGTATCTTCCAAGTGTATAAAAAAAAGAAAGTATATGTTCTATAATTGGGGTTCACAGACCAAATCATACACGGTTTCTTTCCACCAAAATCACGTATTCGACAAGTTCTAGAATTCCAAGATAAACATACAAGTAATACCCCAAGAGATCATATTTTGTCATCAACTTCATCAACCAGAAGTTTAAGTTTGCAAGGGTGCTTGTGCAAGATATTTCACCCTACCCACATACAGTTCTGGATCTAATCCATGAGAAGTAAGAACTCTACATACTTCGATGCAGAGATTTTTTGCCTTAGAAGAAAAGGATGTTAAAGTCCATATATAAAATCATAATTGCTGATATGGGCCTTTTGAAAAGGGAAATCTTGTATTAAAATAGACGCAGTCACGCAGAAATAATGTAGATTATTCAAGTGTCAAAGTCAATTTGATTTACAAAACAATGATATCAACTTGTACAGCACGGTTTCACAACTTGCAGCCACTTGTCTTCGTCATGGAATATTTGAGAAAAATGTAACGGTGGCATTTTGCTATAACAATAACTACTCACCCTTAATGCAGCTTTCCGTAGTGGAGATGAACGCATATAAGCTTTCATGAGTTTGAATACGAGTATATCCAAAGGCACTTTGATATCATTACTATTTTTTATCCAAGGATGACCTGTAGCAGAAGACTACTTCAAGTAACCTTTCAAATATATTAATAAAATATGTATACACATGATTTATGCACAACAAGATACTCACACATTGCTTGAGCTGCAGTCATTCTTTTCCGAGGATCCTTATTTAGTAGGCGTTTGACGAAGTCTTTTGCCTCCGACGTTAGAGTAGGCCAAGGTTGCTCTTCATAAGATGGTTCCGCTTTTACTACGGCACGGAAGATTCCGGACTCGGTTCGAGCCCAAAATGGGCGGCTTCCGCATAATAATATATATGCTATAACACCAACACTCCAAACATCAGCCTCTGTACTGTATGCTCTGTGTAGTACTTCGGGTGCTACATAATATGCACTGCCAACAATGTCATTAAGTCTTTCATCTGCAAATAGTTTATGATGATATTGTTTAGCTATTACAATGGCTACCTTGACGAAAGAGAAAATATTGACACTATCAGTATGTTTGCTAGCAAAGATTGGATAAGACTGGACACTGGACAGTACTAAGAAAAGAAGAACATAAAATTTTGATCATTATACCATCCAGTCTTTGTCCAATAGTGTGGTCCAAACATGGACTATATAAATAAAGAAGGATGAACCTGGTTTCACGAAATCTGATAACCCAAAGTCTATGGCCTTCAATTGTGAGTTTTCATCCTTGCATGTAAACAAGAAATTCTGATCCAGCAACAAGCTACAGTTAGGCAAGAATATGGTATAAAACAAACAACAGTTGCTAATTCAACATAAGAGAACGAAAACCTAATACTGGTTTCCATTGGAGATGGATCAGCAAATAGCAAAAACCTACAGCAAATTCCCTCCCTCCCTCCCTCAGCAAATAGCAAAAACCAACAGCAAATTATGTTCTCTCCCCCCTCTACCATCTGCACCCTTACTGGTAATAAGAAGACTTTAACTGTTCTAATTACTAATAATGCATATAGAGTGTCTTCTTTTCCAGTGAATCCGTAAATGAAATAGCTCACGCTTTGGATGGCTCAATATTATAAACAAGATAAACTGTTTACATTTTAAGTCAAGTACAAAATTAATAAGCTTTTAGAACCTAAAAGTATCTCCTAGTAAATCCTACCTCTGGTTTAAGATCCCGGTGCACCACCCCCTGAAGGTGGCAGAACGCAACAACGTTCAGAATCTGTATAATCACGGTTTTCGCATCATCTTCTGTGTATTTTCCACCCCTGCAACAAAGAGACAACAATTCATTTTCTATTGACTGCTGGAACATGCAATTTATGTTTTCAATAACAGTATCTGAATTCAATAGGTTCAGAAATTAAAAACATGTGTCACCAAAATCAAAGACATGCCTTGAAAGTATTCTATCCAAAAGCTCTCCTCCTTCGCATAACCTGAGAAAGAAAGTCTATTAGAATAACTAAAGAAAAAGCTTATAACTTGGTGAAGCTTATACATCCTACCAATATGGCTGTAGCATTCTACAAATTACTAGTAATTGAAGAATATATGCCAGAATTAAAATTAAGAAATCAAAGCTTACTCCATCACAATATAGACGTTATCGTTGTCCTCATATGCATCATAAAATTGTATTAGATTGCTATGTCCCGTCAAGGCTCGCAATATTTTCACCTCCTTTCTTACATCTTCAATAGCTATAGCTGTGGTCATCTGTAAATGAGATATAATCACAATTAGAGAAGGATACTACAGATAAGAGCCAAAAACCTGAAAAGAGACCTCATAATTTGACCAACAGCAAGAAGACAGATCATCTTTCATGTAGTACTATCTACTTAAAACTTGAGCCAATTACTAACTCAATATTCTTAATTAGTTGAGAATCACATTACTACCATCAATTGTAATATTTTTCCAATAAAAACCAGTTTGAATATAGTAAGATAAATTACAACACAATTTGAGATGAGAATTAAATGAATTGATGAATTTGCAATTACGATAGGCAGCTTTGCACACTATTCAATATTCATACATCTACATATCCTATCCTATTTGGTAAAATACATCCACACATGTATGAACTATGAACTATATGTTCCTCAATTAGAGGCACAACACCAACTGTTTCCTTTAATCCATCAACATAAACTTTTCTTGAGTAAGGTCGACGCTTGTATGGGAACCCGTTCTGCAGCAAGGGAAATACAGCCTTACTCCACAGAGCAAATATGCTAGTTTCTCCCTCCATTAGTTTCCGTTAATAACTCAATTGCTGATTTATCTACCTGTGCTCCCAACCACATTTGTCGTCCACTAAATGTTCCTCCGAATCAGGGCATTCAGCCACCATTATTGCAAGAACATTTTGTATCACCATAAGAAGTGAAAGATACTTAACCTTGACACAGATAACCTGTTTTTTTCAGTAATCTGAGGGACTCATGAGAAGTTTCCATCTTTACTTATATCTGCAAGCGGTAGGTTTAGAATTATTCATCTTCAACCTGCAAGACCAACAAGCAGCTACTGGAACAATAACATAACAGATATTATCCACCAAGTCTTAGATCCAAGCACCAATGACATATTCAACCACAGAAACTAACGCTAGATCTAGTCCTCAACCATTAGCAGTGATTCCCTTCTACAAGAACCACCATCTCTCCAAGGTCGCATTTTAAACTGCTGCAGTATTAACCAATAAAACTCACACGGATTCGCTTACACACCCATTTCAAATCCACAAGACTTCACGAGAAAAAAAATTAGAACCTTTCAAACTTGATGAATCACGTCAACAAACATTCTTGCAGTTGAAAAATAAGTTCAAATTTGTTTTTTTAAAAAAAAGATTCCATTAAAGCAAAAAGTTGATTTTCCAACCCAAAATCACTAAAATTTGATCTATTTTTCTGCAGATCAGATCTCCAAAACCCAATAAGTTGCTCCAAAAGAAGCGAAAAATGGCATAGATCAATGACAGAATAATTACTATAAATTTAGTAACACTATGATGTCAGCAAATTTCGAAAGAAAGGGAGAAAAATCCAAACCTTTGCTTTTGGAATGACCTTAACAGCAACCTCCTGTCCTTTAAGCTCCCCCTTCTTGAAATTGGCCCTACAAGTATACCCAAAATGGCCTCTCCCGACTTCCTCCCCCAGCTCATACTTGTTATACAAATTCTTCGAAAACCCGAAATTCTTATCCAGACCCACCCCCACTTCCACCTCCTTCCCCTCAGGTATTGTTGCCTCGTTCGGCTTCACTGACCCGTGCCGCTTTGCTAGCAGTGCTCGAATGTGCCTTGCCGGAGAGGGCGGTGGGAATTTTCCTTTAAAAATTCTCCTCGGTGTCCCGCTCCCCGGCGCCGGAGATCTCGCCGGAGATTTCTTCGAGAAAAAATAAGCTGGGCTTGGGCTGTAAAATGGAAAAAACGGCGATTTCTTACCTACTCCCAAATCCTCCTTTTTCTCCTCGAAATTGCTGGAATCTTCTTCGCCATTACCATTGACATTATTATCCTCCGTTGGTACATGGTTATCCTTATTCTGGGTCGGAATAACACCTGATTCGTGAAAACTACACTCCTGTAAGGATTTAGGTTTGGAAGTGCAAATTCCCATATGAGTTTTTCTTTAAAAATATCTTATTATATTTCCCCTCCTCGATTCTTCTCCTCCCAGTCTCAGAACACACAATTTCTTCTATACAGAAATGAGAAACCCTATAGTTCAAAGTTTTGAAAACAATTTCTTGTAAAATATATATTTATAGGTGAGGGGGTTTACTTTGAATTCTTGACTGGAATTTAGAAGAAAAACAGAGGAGAGGGATCTGTTGAGAAGGTGATAAAAGTAAACGACGATCATACTTTTGTCGAGATACATTTATTTGAACTCAAATGAAAAACAAAATAGATTTCGTTAAAACAAAGCAAAAATATCAGAGAAGTCCTCTATTTATGGCTCTTGTTGCATTTTTGTCTTAACCTTTTAAATCAAACATTTGGATTTCTCATTTTCTACTTCCGTTGCACCCAAAGCCCCTCCCTCAACCCCACCATGCACCCAACCTTAAGGCCGTTAAACCCCATGCCCATGGCTGGACGAGCATTGTATTATAATGTGCCTACATTCATAAGAAAAGTTCTAAAAAGAAAGCAATGAATGAAACATAAAGTGAAGAAAAAACTCAAGAAATCCTTCAAATGATAATGAATCATATGAAGAGGCAATGTTCCGTCTTTTACAACACGGGGTACGGCTATCAACCAATCCTTCTAATGATTTCAAGTTCAAATTAAAAAATACCTCAAAATCTTTATGATGGATAAAGGGAGATTTAAAGCACAAGTTTTGATGATTATAGTGAAAGATATTACAAATCAAAAGCTCAAAGTCGAAATCAACACGACTTCCTTTCAGGAGAAACGGAGAGCAAAAGACATCAATTTTACTTGTCTTAGGTAAACTTGAAGATCCTAATTCCGGAAACAATGGTAGGTAAACAATGCTCAAAATTTATTGTCTAGAAAAAAATGTGCTGATTTTCTCATGTAGATCGCTAGGACTAATGGTTGAAATTTGTTCTTAACATTGACTAAAAACTTAAATAGTCAAATGATCGAATATGTGAAATAAAATTCCGAGATCGATCAACCTGTTATTGATTGATTTTGTATGTATTTTATTTTTTCAACTGATTGATTTTAAAATATGTTATTGATTTCTCATGTCAAATTGACTTGTTCAAGGTTTTCAAAATATTGATACATGCATCATTAAACTTATAAATGCTAAACCACACTAAATTTCATTTATACATTTGGGTTCTTAACACAATTATCAACATATTATGCGCGCCACTTGCAGAAATCATATAAAAAGACGGATTCATGATCAAGATTGATTAGATTATCGAAGCCCAGGAGTCTCAGATGACAACGTAATAATTTTCACTATAACCTTCAAGAGAGGTTGGTAAACACTATAGTCAAGAACAGCTGAATAGACAACCTAATCCTTCACATAGTGCCCAAATCTCTCAAACCCTCTTCCGTTCTCCAGTCTGATATGTTGAACCGAGCCCTCAATCCAATGATGTCAACTAGACCTGATTTACAGTAAGAAAGTAGAAGAAGATTAAAGCAAATATGTGGAAAACTTTAAAAATCCAAACATAGAAAAGCAATAACAAAGTGAAATGACAGTAAAGAGAACTGAAAAATCATGTCTTTTTAAATGACACTCATAGAGTTGTTAGTCATAGGGATCACAAAATACCTCGTTAGCATCTCACCCAACCCAAAGAGAGTAGGATTCATGGTCCCTACGTAAAGTCTTATTTTTTATTTTCTTATTTTTACATTTTTATATTTAAATCATATTGTCCATAACATTTTGTTCATTACAAGCCACAAATTGCATTCATGAGTCACGTTTTTACAACACATATATACACGAGAGTAATGTTATCTAGTCCCACTTGAATTACAACTCTAATTTAGGTGTCGTTAATATGACATAAAATGATTGGTAAAATTAAATAAATCAGTAAATTTCACATTTTATTTAGCCTATAATCTAGAGCGACCTAAACTGGGGTTATAATCCCAATGGAGCTACATAACATTATTCTATACACGAATATATTAAGCCCATGTTTGGTTTGATGAAAACTCAAAATTTTAGTAGATTTTGAAAAAAAAAAAAAAAATTGGTGAAATATGTAGATGAAACTTAGTTTGGGAAAATGAGTTTTAAAAACTTGGCCAAATAGGGGCTACGAAAATGAGAAGGTTAAGGGCTAAAATGTTTTGTTTAGAAGATTGGGGATGACAATACAATAGGAACAATAAATTGGGCATCTCTGTTGCTATTTTCGGTAAAGAAAAGGGAAAAGATGGTGAACGTAGGTCAAAATGATCTTGGTCGTAGGTTGATTTTCACGTGGCAGAAATGATGGGTTTGATTTGATTGGGTATTTTATTTTCTAACGGGAATTTTAAAAAATGGCTAATTCCATGCGTCTCAATTAAAAAATGTCTAATTTTGATAACTTTTGAAAAAATGGTCAAATTTAGTATTAAATTATCTATTATTCCCTTAATGAAAAATGAAATATTTTTTTCTCAATTGTCTTGAATTTCGAGAAAAATAAATAATTTCCATGAGAAGCTACATTAAAATGACGTTATCGATATTTTAAAAGTTGTTAACGATAATTGAACTATATTCATCTTGATACTTCATTTATCTAAAACGAGATTTCATTCCAAAAATAAGAATTCTCTATATTTTATAAAGTTCTTCACATTTGAAATATAATTCTGATATTTATATACGTGTCAATGAGAAATATAGCATTTATTGTGATTTGATGCGTACTTTTGAAATAAGTAGAATATATTATGTGTCAAGATTTTATTGGTCAACAAAATATTTAATTTTATGCACATATTTGTCTTTAGTGTGGAATTATAAATTGTTAACAAATGGATTTTGGTCTAAAATATTGCAAAATGGACATTGAACAAATTTTGGATATTTTTACAAATGATCATGTGAAAGTGGATATTTCTTGTAATTTCCTCTTTTTTTAATTAGTGATGAAATCGTGTTAGAATTTTTGATTAATTATCTATTTGTAGGGGTGGACAAAATGATCCGATCAAACCAAAATTGAAACAAATCGAGTTGTTCGATTCCACCAAAAAATTAGTGATATATCACTGAGGCACGTTGGCATTGCATTCATCACGTCAGTGGAAGAGACTCTTTTAAGATCGAAAAATAAAAATGGTTAGACACATAAAAAGCATTTAAACTGTTTTTTTTTTTTAATTTTTTTTACCTTAATTGTTTGATAAATTATTTGTGTTCTTCGCAAATAGAAATAACTAATGACAAAGAACTTATATATGAATATATCAAGCAAGATAAAATCAAAATTGTAACTGGAAAGAAAATTTGAATACTTTTTATCCGTAAAATGGTGTGTTAGTAATAAAAGAGGCTCGAACATGTTGATAAACACTTTGTTAGTCTTGTCTTTAATTTGTTCAACTATTTGAATACTTCAAATAAAATGGAGTACATATAGGATGCACATGTGCTAAAATCATTTCTTAGTATATCTTTCGAATTGTTGGGGTTGTTGCTCCGATTTAAATCAGTTGGTGTGGACAGGTCTAAAGGTGGGAAGGGGGATAATTCCTCACTCTAGCTCTAACTGGGTTCAATCATTCGATATAATCAGTAGTTTTTCGAAAGCAAACAGTCGATTATCTACTTAGGTCGTCTTAGCGTGTCTAATATTATAATAGTAAAGGGGAATTAAATTTAAATTTGATTAGCATAATTAATGCGGGTGGAAAGGTGAGCAATATAGATGAGGGAGAATCTTAAAATGAGGAAAGATTTTGTCTTGTATATTAGGGCAAAAAAACAAAAGGGAAGGAAGAATAGGCAATTCCTTTTGTCTTGGCATTGGGCCTAAGGGAATCAATAAATTCAAAGTGCCCACCTTACTTTTCTTTTTTAGTTTTCCCTTATTGCATGCTCGAATAATCAACACATATCGAGGTGCCTACAATTCACACTTTTGTAACTTTGTTTTCTTATTGGTCAATATTCCAAAAGGAAATGCTTATTGGTAGCATTTTTCCTTTTTATTTCTCAAGGGATTAATAGGGGTGAGTTCTCAAAATCTGTATTGTTCATGCAATCAAGATTTCTTTTTATAATTGAAACACGAGAGTCGATTAAATTTGTGCCGTGTTAAAGTATAAATACAAATTATTAATTAATCTCATGACGTAAGTTGTTCATGTCGGGTTTTAATTTTAGTTGCAGTCATTGATTGATAGAATAAGCTAAGTGTTAAATAACAAAAGCATGCATTTTACATCATGTTTTGACCTTACATTTATATAAGAAATATTGACCGTGTAGGTCATATTCTCCATGTCCACTTGCAAATGCATGTGTAGATTGACTAAGAAATTGTCGTGTCATTACAATCCTCTTCATTAATCACTTTTTTCTTATGGTATTTGTCGCAATTGTAATAGGCTCGTCAACCTGCTATATATATCCCATGACTTCCATATAATAAACTTTGAGCTCCTTGCACTTGTCTAGTCGAGCTCTGACAAGGTCGGATATAGTTTAATCAAAATTTCTTTCCTTTTCTTTTCTTGACAAAGGCACAAAGTGATCAAATTCCAAACTACTCCGTCTTTCTCAATTTCTTTATCGACTCGATGACTTCATCAGTAGAACTAATATCTTCTTGTTGTTTAAATACTACTTTTTTAATTAACTGAGCTTTGGTAGAAATCATGTTGATTTTATTTTTGTAAATTGAAATTCATTTTTTATGATAGACTTTGGTTAATAAATTCTTGAGAATATGAAAGAAATAAATGTGTGTTCAATTTTAAATTCCATGTTGTTTAAATAATCTTAAAAAGAAAAATCAAGAACCCTAAACAAAACCTAGAATTCAAACCAAGAAAGCACTAAAAATATTATGATTTGTCTTTGTTGCAAAGCCATCCATATATATTGTCTGCGAATCATATTGCCTAATTAAATTACCCATGATTTTATTAAATCTAACACATTCGATAGTTCACACTTGTTTGCTCATTTCTAGTCACTCGAATTTCATATTCAATTTTACACCACTCTTCTGATAAACTTACTTAGCAGGTACTTATTTGCTAATTATAATTTGTTATTGATAAAAGTTTTTATTCAAATGAATTTTTTTGAAGTATTGTTGTCTTGGATAGTGGCGGAGCCAATACCCGACGAGGTGGCATTGTCGTGCGTGCTAGTTCCGCCGGAATTTACAGCGGCAGCGTACTTGATTTGTCATCTACGATCTCTGTCGGGCAGAGGATTGGGGGAGATGAAGTCGTGGGCCATTTTTCTTTTGTTTGAGAATTGACATTTTTTTGTTGAGGAAATTACATAATTCCAGGTATTTCAACTTTAGAGTGCAAAAATCAGGTGAGAATATTTTTTAATCAAAATTCAGGTATTGATTTAAAAATTAAATATTATTCCCACCCTACTTAATCCCAAACCCTAA